GAAGCATAGCGACAAGCGTGGACTCATCATCCCAGTCCATGCTGTCATCTTCATCTCGCCTGATGGCATGTTTGCGATACGCAATATCCTCGTCCCGCTCGAGTGCATCAAACTCGTGGGCCAAGTCGTGGCCGTGGTTATATGCGCCCTGTTCTTCTTCCTCTTCCTCGAGGGGCTCTTCCGTGATTGCCGGGAGCTTGGTTCGATTCCTGAGAAAGCGGTTCGTGTTCGCGCTTGGAAGCGCTGATCTCGCACTCCTCGCCGAGGGATAGCTTGCCGCAAGTGGCGATTTCTGCGGAGCTCTCGCTGCACGGCGGCGTCAGGCATTTGGCACAGATAACGCACAGCCATGTTGCCCACTGACCGTACTTCGCAACGGCGACTTTGTGGGAGCGGGCAGCATGGGGAGAGAACTTTTGGACGAGCGTGGTCTGTTGGCGGACCATGGCGGGCTGCCCCAGGCCGTGTCCGGCTCAGGGTTGGCGGCAGCAGAAGTCGCGACACGGGCACGTGAGGGTGATGGCGGCCACCCGTTTAGGCAAGGCCCATCCCGGGCGCTTGGGAACTTCCAGCGACCTGATCCTGCGCCTCCACCTTGTCTCGCCCCGAGATAGCCTGCCGCTCCTTTACCGCTCTTTCCTTCCTTCCCTCTTTTTGGAGTGCATCGCAGCCGCGACAGCCGCGCGCGCAACCTCGCAGCCTGCTACGCCAAGTGTACAGCGGTGCAGGACCTACTACCGCGCTGTCTTTTCAATCTTTCCCAACCTACCGACCACCCCCATCAGCCCCGACCCCGCCCCCTAGTCCCGCCCGCCGCCCACCGCACACACCATGAGCAGCCGCCAGCCGAAGGTATCGACGTCCGAGCTCAAGCTCCGGAGGCTCCTAGAGCACAACCAACGACTGAGAGAGGACCTTGCGAGACCCCGCATACGGGTGAGCGAAGCTAGTGCGAGGTACGTAGACCGGCGGCTAGCTGTGAAAACTGCGGTGACGCGTGTCCTACCCCCTCTAGCTTGATCAACTACTGCAAGAATACAAAGGATTACCTTGTGAGTGTTCTCTCTGTTGTTACGTTCTCCGCCTTGCTGGCATGGCTTGGCATGTAATGCCGGCGGTTCGATGTCGCGCAGTTCGTAAACGAGGCAGAGCTCACCTTCGGTAGCGCCTGCGAATGCGCAGGCACTACACCTCGGAGTTGAGGAGCGTGGTGTTCCATCTTGGTGTCTCCCCTCAGCTGCCGCGGAACAACATACTATCATTCACCGGTACTGTCGCCTAACGTATTGCCACGAACAATTTGCGCTTTCGGCCTGATGACTTCCTCTCCTCGTCAATGATGTAATGCTGATCATGCTTGATCTTGTAGGTCCCATCGGTTTGGGGTACCGTCAGCAAAGCGGAGGATCCCTTCGGCGCACCACAACCCTCGGGAGGTTGCGGCTGTATTGTCATGTAGCCGTCTACAGAGTGAGCGCGGGTCTCATTCGTTCTGCACGCTGCTGCTAACGGACAATGGTTTCGCTAGCATCTCACTTCACAGCCACCTCGTTCATACCTCCGCTTGCGCACCGCGCCTCCTTCTTCCTACCCTGCGCATCTCGACCCCACCGATCTCCCGCGTCTGACATCCTCTGTCTCATCTGTCGGTTTCCTGAACAGTCACACTCTCACATCTCGCCAATCCGCTCACATTTTGGCATTAGCATTAGTACATATGGATAACCCTATGCCTCACTTTGGTCTTCATCTCTCAGCTCGTCGTTACTGCTTTGCATTAGTATCGGATGGATCCTTTTATTCATGTATACCTACGCTGGGTTTTCCCCCTCGACCTAATGCAGCTCGATAGCGTGGGTAATGAATGAGTGCAGGCTGTTCCTGAGCATGAGCTGGACGCGCAGCGCTGTGCTGAGCGTGGCAGCCAGTGTGCAGTCGGTCGACAGCGAGTCACGCGTGCTGACTCTGGGTTGGAGGAGAAGCGCTGGCAGCCAATTGAGGTAATCACCGACCTGTGCAATCCTGAGAGTTTCATGCGTCTCTTCTGACCGTATCGTCCACCTCTCCCCTTCCCCGCCCCGCCCACTTTTGTTGTATTTATCCTTCTGCTCGTTCCCCGCGCACAACCCCCGTGCACGCAGTTTCTGTTGGCCCACAGCGCGGCACGCTTTCGCGCGAGCGCCCGACTGGCCCAGCACACTCTGGACCGTGACTTTGACTTCCGGTGAGCATGGCAAGGTACATTGCACTCTGTGCGCCGATTTGATTCGGATCCGTCTTTTCCGTGCCCCTCTTCACCAGAGCGTCGCACGACGTCCGCCAGTGCATCAAAAGGACCACCTAGCCTCCCTCCATCACACGCCCCCCATCATCTCTCTCCCCGACTCGATCAAATATGAACGGCCGACCGCACAAGCAGTCAATGTCCGAGCTCAAGCTTCGCCGCCTCACGGAGCACAATCAACGGCTAAGGGAGGACCTGGCGCGGCCACGGATACGGGTTAGCGAAGCCAGTGCAAGGTGCGTCACCCCGCAATTTGTAGACAGCCGGCGAGTTCTCATGACGAATTGCAACCTCGCTCTTCGAAACAGCTTGATCCGCTACTGCAAAACGACGAAAGACCCCCTTGTGCGTACTCTGCCCATGCTTTGTCCTTTGGACGCCCAGCGCATACACCGACCCCCACGCGTCCCGCACCGGCGTATCGTGCTGACCGATCATCGGCTTTTAGGTACCATCTGTATGGGGGCCTGTAGCAAAGAACGAAGACCCATATGCACAACAAGGCGGGGGCCCGAAGGGATGCTGCGTCGTCCAGTGAAATAAACAACCCGTGTTTCCTCCGCCCTCTCTGCTCATTCTCTGTCCATACATTTATACCATCGCTCTTTTTATCCCCTCCAACAGTTCTCGGCTCACTCAATTTGTTCTTCGCATCGTAACTTTATGCATAGCGGGTGAAGATGCACGCGCAATTCTCGGTTTCTGCAGGATGGCTATGGCTGTGGTTCTGTCTTGCTGCTCGCTCCTACAATAACAACCCTCTTTTCCTTTCTCCGCCAGATGAGCGTCCAGTACAATAGTGTAGGATACATGGACCTCTTCTGCCTTAGAACGCTCGTCAACAACACCATCTCCTCACTCCGTGCCCCCTCTTTCTCGACGTGCGCTCCCTTGTCTAAGGTTCCATCGCCTGCGTTCTCATGACATGTCCGGGCGGCGAGCCGTATGGACATGGCGCCTGCCTACGCCTGTGGTCCGGCCGGGACGTTGAGAGCGTGCAGCTGCATAAGTATAGTTCCTGATCAACGTCCGCCGAGATAACGAATGATGTTGATGCAGGCTGATGACGCGCGTGTTATAGGTGCTGGTCCTCGTCGTCATAACTCTCCTTCACGAGCCTGTGCAAGAAGCATCAGCGACCTCCATCAGGATACGTGTATGCGCGACGGTCACCTGTAGATTGACGAAGGGGGGTGATCGCCACTAAAGTGGAGTTAACGTTCACAATTAGAGGACGAGGTAAGTTGTTCGCGTCGTGACTCACTCGTTCGTAATAAAGACATCCACGAGCTCCGGTCCGACGTAGTCGTAGTACGGATTGATGACGTCCACCTTGTCAACAAGCGGGCCCTCCTCGTAGCCTAGCACGCTGCTTGGGTCGGCGAAGTCCAGTGCGCCATACTCATGGTAGAGATTCCACGCGGGCGTGAGCTTGAATTGGCCCGTTACCACGACGACGGGAGTGCTGTGTGCGCGGGCAGCGGTGGCGGCCAGCAGCGAGCCCGTGATTGCGAACATGCCGCCGTTGGCGAGGATTGCGTGCGCGCCGATGATGACCTTGTTGACGCGCGACATGATCGCGTAGATCGAGGAGTCCGGGACGAGGAACGTCGAGATGCCTGCGTTGGAGAGCGAGGTGGCCATCTCGTGGCCGCTGTACCTGCAGAGAGTGTGAGCGACGGGCTACTAGACAGACGAAATCGATAGCGTACGAAGGGCCCGTTTCCGCAACGATGACAGTGTAGTTCCGATAGTGGCCTGCAGACTTGAGAAAAGCTTCCACCGTCTTGGAATGCCCGATCGTGAGGATGATTTCGCTACAGCAGGCATGAGCAGGGACGTTGCATCTCGCTTAGGACACGGACATACTCTGAATGGATATGGTCCTTCGCCGTCTTTGATACATTGTCGTAGACGGTTTCGAGCTCGTCCAGTACGTCTTGGATGGCCTCCATGAGCACCGGCTTAAGTCCCTTCGCGAATGAATCCGGATCATCAGGATCGTCCTCTCTCAGCGACAGCGTCGACTCAGACTTCGGCGCGATGATCTGCTTCCTAGGCTGACCCTGCAGGACGAACTTGGAGATGGAGAACACGTTCCGTGCAGGCGGCGCGCCCTTCGTTGCAGTGTTGTACTCTTCGCGGATGTTATGTAACACCTTACGAACGACGTTGCCGACGGTGTGCTCTAGGAACAAACAGATGGTGAGGAACGAGTACGGTTTACGGCACAAAGGCGAACACACCTTTCGGCTGAGCTTCGGCGAGTCTCTTCCCCACTTCTCGGAGCAAGCTGACGAGTTGGTCGATGTTGGTAAAACGAGCCTTGGCGACGACCTGGCGCAGAACGAGAACGGTCTCAAGGGCAGCCTCACGCGAGCCCACTACCTGTCTACAGCGGTATTGCAAGCATCAGCTTGATTCAGGGTATGTAGCATATCGATGACTCGCCTTCTGCGCAACTTCGCTGCGAGGTTTTCGACAGCGCGAGCGGCGGGTACAGCGCGATCCGAAGACATGATGAAGGGGGGAATGCAGACGAGGCAGGAAAACTAGCAATGGTAGGTCAGGCGTACTTACACAAGGTCTTAACATTCAATAGGCTGCCTGTGTGGTGTGGCCTGTGTGGCCGGTGGATGCGATCGAGTCAGGGTCAGGTTACCTGAATACTGTTTTGGAGGCTGTATATAGTAAGCTATGTTTGAGTCTTTATAACGGCCGCCTGGCGAAATGGCATCGCGTCTGACTACGATGAATGCATATGTAATCAGGAGATTGCAGGTTCGACCCCTGCGGTGGTCATTTTGGTCGCACATGTGCACATCCTTTTTTCTTTCGTTTTGTTCCATCAGTACTGTGCGAAGCCTGCCTTCTATTCTTCTCAACGGTAGCATCGAAACCTTTGACATATTTCATGTGATGCAGGTGCTTAGTATTGTCATGGATATTTCGACTAGCCTACTTGTGCACACAGTAATATACTTCATGAAGCGATGTGCCAATCCAGAATATCCTCCCACTTCCCAGGCAGAAGCTGTGAGATCTGCTCTACGTCTTTGTCTCCACGGCCGGACAAGCACTGGGAATAGAAAACCATGAGCCGTATGCAGCACCGAAAAGAACTAGACTTACGACTACAATGTGGGCCTCCTTCGGCAACGTCTTTGCTAGACGGACAGCCTCCCACACAGCGTGCGATGACTCCAGAGCTGCGGTATGAACTATATGAGCAGACCCCTCTGTTTTCGCACAGCGGACGCGACATACCGGGAATGATGCCTTCGAGCTGCGTGCACATCCGGAAGCCGCGCAGCGCCTGCTCATCAGTCGCGACGACGTACTCTGCACGCCCAGAGTCCTTCAGCCAGGCATGCTCGGGGCCGACGCCGGGGTAGTCGAGGCCAGCGCTGATAGAGTGCGTCTCGATGATCTGGCCTGCGCTAGACTGCAAGATGTACGTTCGGACGCCATGGAACACGCCCGGGACGCCCTTGGTGAGCGTCGCAGAGTGGTGGTCACCATCCAGACCTAGAGTGCGCGTAAGAGGTGAGCGATGGATCATGCGCAGAAAGCGTGCTAGAGGCGCCGACCTTCGCCGCCAGCCTCGACGCCGATGAGGCGGACGCTCTTGTCGGGGATGAAGTCGTAGAACGTGCCGATGGAGTTGCTCCCGCCACCGACACACGCGACGACCGCGTCTGGCAGCCTACCGATCTCCGCGTGCAGCTGCTCCTTGATCTCCTTCCCGATGATGCGCTGGAAGTCACGCACGATCGTAGGGAAAGGGTGCGGCCCGATGGCGGAGCCGATGAGGTAGTGTGTGATGGACAGGTTCGTGACCCAGTCGCGCATGGCCTCGTTCACGGCGTCCTTCAGTGTCTGCGAGCCCGAGGTGACCGGGATGACCTTCGGGAGAATGAGCGGTAGTTGAGCTTGTACGCGCGAATGGGAGCTACCTGGGCACCCAGCATGCGAATGCGGAAGACGTTCAGGGCTTGCCGTCTCACGTCCTCTGCGCCCATGTAGATGACGCACTCCATCCCGAAGCGAGCGCAGACGGTTGCAGTCGCCACGCCATGCTGCCCGGCGCCCGTCTCAGCGACAATGCGCTTCTTGCCTAACCGCTTGGCTAGGAGGATCTAACGAGAATTCAGCTTGATGTCGCGGATCTGTCACTAGCCTGTGTACCTGGCCAACTGCGTTGTTGATCTTGTGTGAACCCGTGTGGTTTCTAGCGAGGTCGACGCGTATGAGGGGCCGCCCAATTCAACCCAAACAATTGTGTACCCACAGGTCCTCGCGCTTGAGCCAGATGGTCGCCCCATCGGCATGTTTTGTAAGCTGTTCTGCCTTGTACAGGTTTGACGGCCGGTTCATGTAGCCGTACAGGCCCTCAAACTCCTTCCAGAACTCCGGGTCCTTGATCGCACCCTGATACGCGTCTTCGAGCTCGATCAGGGCGTCCCACAACGTCTCTGGAACATACTGCCCGCCGAACTCGCCGAACCGATGAGGCAAACCTGATTTCCTGATCTCCTGAGTGACTTTGCTTCCCTTGCTGACATGTGAGGCAGAGCTGTGTGCAGTATTGAGGTGTGGACGCCGTGGGGGCTCGCCCTTGCGACTAATCTCGCGACAGTACACCTCGACTGCCTTCGCTACCTCACCCTTGGGCGCGCCCTTGATCACGCTAGTGATACGGCTACCGACGACAACACCATCTGAGCCTGCATCAGCGACGAGCTCGAAGTGTTGCCGAGTCGCTACACCAAATCCGACCGCGAGCGGTATGTCGGTGTATTTGCGTACACGGGCGATGAGGTCCGGCAGAGCGCTGTTCATACTTCCAGTATCAGACGATCCGGTCGTCCCCATCTATGTTGCGGATAAGAGAACGTCGTCGGTGTGATGCAGGAATAGCACGTACTTTCGAAACGACATAGATAAATGAATCTGCGATGGATGCAAGGAACTCGATGCGGCGCTCAGAGGTGACGGGTGCGACAAGAGGGACGAAAGACAGCCTGTATACAGATTGGACAGAGAAGTAAACCGGCGATCACGGGTACGTACCTTGACTGGATGCACTTTTCGCGGAACGTGAGAGCTTCCTCGGGCGGAAGGTCGACCATGATGAAGCCATTTGCGCCTGCTTCTGCGGCCTCTTGTATCGCCTTATCCTCGCCGTATGCAATTAGAGGATTGTAGTAGCCTATGGAATAGCTGTTATCACAGAAATGTGTGTGCAGTATACCGGAACGTACCCATGAGGAGGATGGGCGTAGTGAGACCTTTGCTACGTGCCTCCCTGACTATGCCTAGGCAATCAGGATATTGCACATCGTGTTGGAGTGCCACCTTGGGGTGGTGTAAATTAAATACAATGGGAGCGATGGATGTGTACATACGACATTTGTCTCTTGGATAGCCGGCCCATCTGCCATCGGGTCCGAAAACGGTACACCAAGCTCAATGATATCCGCACCACCTTCTTGCATGGCGAGCATAATAGGCACCGTGTCTTCGGGCGTCGGATACCCTGCGGTGATGAAGGTCACCAGTGCAGGGCTGGTCTGGCAAATAGCTGCTTCAGTAGAGGATCGATGTATGGAGGAGCACCACTCGCAGACTGGTTTTTCTCCTGAAACACCTTCTTGATTGCATCCATATTTCTTCTAATTGTGGTGTGGGTTGCGTTGCGTTGCGGCTCAGATAGACCAGGCAACCTTTTATAGACGATGGAGAGGTGGTGGGAGGGAATTCGAGTCAGGGAGCCAAGTGAGTCGTGCAGGCGATCTAATCTACTCCCCCGATCCGATCTGGTGCTGAACGCGATCACGCCACCGCGGCGCCACTGCGCCTCTCTTGAACGCCTCATCTCAGCTGCCGAAAACTGCAGCCGCCACCCTCACCCGCGCGCAATGGGGACCCCGCAGGCCACCGACGAGTCCAGGGTGCTCATCCTCAATACTGGGGGCACCATCAACATGATCCTGGGCCACCGTGGCTATGTCCCCGAGCCGTACTTTCTCACCGAGTCCCTTCGCACGCAGAATCGGTTCCACGACCCGCTGGAAGACTCCCTCTTCTCGCATTCATCATCGGTGGAAGGCTACCGCGAGTGGACAAGCAACAGTAGTGGACGAGCCAGCCCTGTGGCGAAGCCTGGGACACCTGACGCTGCACAGGCGAATCAGCACCATCCCACATTACCCGTGCGATCTTCACGGCCCATGGGCATATCTCAAGTAACCGCGAACTTGGCCGCTGGGGGTCTCCGTAGCAATCACCCGAAGCCCCCAGTAAGCAACAGGATATCTGAAGACCTGTACGAGGCACACCTTCCGAGCCTCATTACCCCAAGGAGTGCTGCGCCGGGCGGCATGCAGAAACGAATCCGCTATGCGGTCCTTGAGGGATGTTGCAACAGTCCGGTATCTTGAAATCACCCACTCATATCGCACACAGTGGGATCCATTGTTGGACAGCAGCAATATTGAGATCACAGGCAGGACCCTCCCCTATGTATGTCTCCCAGGCATCTGAGAGGGATGTGACAGGATAGATTGGATTCGCATCGCGACCGAAATCGAGCTTAATTATGCGGCATTCGACGCTTTCGTTATTCTGCACGGAACGGACACGATGGCCTATACGGCATCTGCTCTGAGTTTTATATTGGAAGACCTCGGAAAGACGGTGGTATGGATGCCCAAGACACACCATATCTCAGTCCTGATGAATATACCTGTAGATTGTTACCGGCGCTCAAATCCCATTGTCGCAACTACGCAACGATGCTGTGGATAACCTACTCGGTGCATTGGTTCTCGCAGGCCACTACATCATTCCTGGTGCTGTTCTGCACACTGTTCTCTGCCTCGCATTGTTCGGCTGATTGTAGGGATCAGAATGCTGTCTCTACTTCAATCACACGCTCTACCGAGGCAACAGAGTATCAAAGTTCTCGTCATACGACTTGAACGCCTTCGCAAGCCCCAACTTTCCCCCACTCGTCAACGGTACGTCCAGCACTGATACAGCTGATGGAGACCTCTGACATCCAGGAGTCAGTCGGCATCGACATCATCGTCAACTGGAACGATGTCATGCGCCAAACGGGTCTTCGGCGATTCAGGTCACACAAACGTCCGCCTTATTTTCCCTCATCTAGGCACCGCAGACACACTGACCTCACTGCCCACAGAGATGAGCCCACACGTCGGTAAGTAAACGCGCCCGGAGACCTCTCACAGCCCCGCTCACGCACCCCGCTTCCCAGCCACGCTGCGCCTCTTCCCAGGCATCACCGCGGCTACCGTGCGCGCGTTCCTCGCACCGCCGACACAGGGTGTCGTCCTCGAGACATACGGCGCCGGCAACGCCCCGCAGCGCTCCGACCTCATCGGCGCGCTCAAGGACGCCTGCGACCGCGGTGTCGTGATCGTATCAATCTCGCAGTGCGCAAAGGGCTCCGTGTCGGACGCATATGAGACGGGGCGGAGCCTCCTGTCCGCAGGCGTAGTGAGCGGCGGGGACATGACGCCCGAGGTCAGTCCGCATTCAATACCCTGCCCACTCTTACCAGGCCAGACCTCAGGGACTGACGATGTTGGGCACAGTGCGCACTCACGAAGCTCAGCTACCTCCTGTCGAAGCCAGAACTTCCCCTCGCCGAGGTCCGCGCGCTGATCGGCACGCCCCTGCGCGGGGAGCTCACCCGTCCCGTGAGCACGATCCCGCCCGCGCTCAGCGAGCCCAAGGGGATCGACAGCAATCTCGAGAGCATCTCCAGTGTGCTC